ATCATCGCTGCTTGGATTGCATTTTTGTCATCATGGATCAGGACATCTATTTTTGTTCTTTGGTGTCGCAGGTCACAAAGCTACATCTAAATTGATCATCTTCATGAAACCCGTTGGAGGTAGCTTCCAATTTCAGGGCATCGTATTGTGATATTAAGCAGTCTTCTGTTTTCTAAATCTAATCGATTCACGGTCGAAAGTCACTTGTGATTCCCAGTTGTCGATTATGCTTGTTGTTATTTGTCATAATCTGATTTGTTGATGTGAAAATTTGACAAGGCATGATGGCGACCTGGGAGGTCGATCGGCAACACCTAGAACGATCTTTGAGCACCTGCAAGGGAGGTAAGCCACTCCGACACCCAAATTAGTATATGATATGAGCTTAACAGATCAGAGTGAGACAGATTTCATACCTAGGTTCATGGGTGAGTGGTCTATTTATAGTGGTTGGTGGGGTAGATAACTATCCCATTAGGGTATTCCTCTGCTCGGGAAAGGTTCTTCTGAGCGACCTCCGATCATTGCTGTTAATCGGTCCGTTCCTTGTTGTGGTAGGTGAGATTTAGCGCTCTGCCCCTCCCACTAAGTAATTAACAGGTCGACGCTTTTTGGCTTTGGCTGTGCAGGTCGGCTGTAAGCACCCCAACATTGGCCCCCTCTCAGGTCGGGTGACGGGTCACTCACCTTAGGGATGTTGGCGGTAATATAGACGACCTATTTTTTTTACCTTCTCTCCGAGCTGTTTATGTGTGACGTGGACCAATTAAACGCTCTGACAGGGGCATTCAATAGCTGCCCAAGAGTTTCACGTCGGACGTGGCTCTCGAGGCGCTCTTAAGTACCTAACTGTTGCTTCGACCCGCAATCCGAACTGTCTACAGAGGACATGTGTACGAAGAGTATCTTGGCCTTTTGTATATATATATATATATTCGATGGCTTCTCCCCCATTCCATGCTTCCAAGATTTTTCCTACTCTTGCGCCGAGGTTAGTAGCTCGTCCCTTCTTTGTAAATTCATTGTAGTTAGAAATGTCGGATAGGTGTACTGGTAGCTCTAGGTCTAGAAAGGCGAGCTCGGTGGAGAGCTTCAAGTCGTCCCTAGGGGAGTCCCCTCCCGCTGTCTCGCCTAGTGGTATGGTGTGCCCTAAGGGAGTAGCCTTGGGTGGCACCTCTAGTGATAGGTCTA